TGTAAGGTATGCCAGCGCAACAAAACTACGACGCGAGCCCCATTGGGTCTTCTCAGACCCTTGCCTATCCCGCCAGGTCCTGCAGAGTCTGTGTCCATCGACATCATGGATGTAGGGGTCAGGAGTAGGCATGGAAAAACCCAAGTCATGGTCATAGTAGATGGCTTTAGCAAGTATGCAGTTTTGTCCCTTTGCCTTTTGAGGCATGTACAAAGTTAGTTATAGTGAAAATTTTCAATGCCTGGGTAAGCGAACATGGTATTCCTTCATCCATTGTTAGTGATAGGGATACGCAGTTTACTAGCTAGCATTGGCAGAAACTTATGCGAGTCTATGGCTCAAAGTTGTTGATGTCATCTGGCCGTCACCCAGAGACTAACGGTCAGACTGAACATATGAATAAGATCCTGCAGCAAATACTCAGGATGTATATTAGACCGGATCAGATTAACTGGGATGAGATGCTCCCTAAAGTAGCTAGTGCTTACAATAACAATGTTCACCTAGCTACTTGCCGGACTCCTAACGAGTTGCACAAGTCCTTTAGACCACGCAGGTCGTTTGAAGGACTGAACCGTAACCAAATACAAAGACTGCCACCCGGAACTAGACAGTTTGCATTGCAACATGAAAAGGAAATTGTAAGAGTGACCGACAATTTGAGAAAAGCTCAACATAGAATGATAGAGCAAGCTAACAAGCGTCGTCGGCCGTCGCAGTTCCATGTAGGTGACTTAGTATGGGTCAAGTCTAAGGAGTTCACCCCAGAAGAGAACATCTCACAGAAGTTGTTACCCACGCATAGGGGACCGTGGCCTGTCCTAGAAGTAGAGGGTGGAGAGGACGGACCTTCCTACACAGTAGAGATTCCACCACACCTCGACACATACCCAGTCTTCCATGCGTCTAAGTTACTACCTTGTGTCACCAGTCAACAGTTTTCGTCGCGTCGTTCGATGATTCTTTCCGCCGGATGTGGATGGCACATACGATAAGCATTGTGGAAGAGGATGTGTTTAGAACCGGAAGTCGAGGTCGTCCACAAAAGCAATATAAAGTCAGGTTCGCTTATCAAGAACCGGAGGACGACCGATGGTTCACAAGAACTGAACAATTAGAGACCGCTCCCGACATAGTCCATGCCTATGACAGAGAGGAAAGGTAAAGGTCCTGTCTTGCACTAAAGTATTCTCGGACGACCTCGAATTTAGGTGGGGGAGTGAAACGGTTTTCACCTATAACGGTGACAGATGCAGAACCCAGGGCTACGGGTCAAACCCTTGCGACCGTGCTTTATACAACAGCCGAACATAGACTTAGTGGTCATAGGTACACTATAGGTCGTAGCTGCTACAGTTCCGAAGGGTCAATACTAGGACCTTCTAGAAGCTGTAGGATTGACTCTTGGTAGGTCGTAGGGGTCAGTCAGCGGCTGAGTCAGCAAGGGGCAGTCCTAGCACAGTCAGCAAAGGGCAGTCCCAGTCCTACCTAGCCTAGTCAGCGGTACCCAGTCCTGGTCGCACTTTATCCGGTCAGCAAGTACCATGTGGGACTGTGTGCAACCCGGGCTCAGGGTCCAAGGGCAGACCAACGACGATCCGAAGTATAAATAAAGAGGCAGCGTCAAGTCATTCATCCATTCTGCCTGTGAGCTGTGCGGAAGTGCTTTCGGAGTGTCTTGTGCTACGGAGGTCTGCAGGTGCCCAAAGCAGAAGAGGGCTAAGAGGAGGAAGACGCGGCCATAGCCGTGAGCTAGCTTAGGAGAGAGACGGCAGCCATAGCTGCCACGTAGGATAGGGTAGGAAGTGTGTGTGTATGTAGGATGCGTGTGTGTGCGGGACATCCAGGGTGATCCGAGTGTGAGTGTGTGTGTGTGCGAATAAGTTGCTGGTGGATACAGTTGATCGGGTGGGAATCTTTGTCTGGCGCCGTGCGCCATAGCCATCAAAGACAAGTTTGAATCTGAGCCGTGTTCCTGGCCACGGTTTATCTCTGAGCTTTGTGTGGGCGCTTCGCGCCAAGTCTGATTGTCATCTGTTTGCATGCACGCTAAAGCGAGTGGAAGACAAGTCTGATTGCAACTTTTGCTCATATACTCTCACGCTGACCAAATGACTATGTTGCGGTGTCTGGTTTGTTCTCTTATCCTTCTGAATCCTGTATGCTCTCTGAAAGCCCCTGCCCTTGTTCTCTCTTTGCTGCCTGCGGAGCTGCAATGGGCACCTTCTGAATTCCCCCTTCCGTCTTCTCTTTACTGTGGGTGGTGAAGCAACGGGCCACATATTGTCTATCTAATATCTAGATCTTATTTCATGAACTGAAAAGAAGATCAGAAGTGATTAAACCTGGGCTAATTTTACGTGCACACGTGTAGTTGTGCCCAGACACGCGCTCGGCTGGAATGCCAGGCATGACCCCCAGGCGTGGTCCCAGGCAGTCCCTGTGCAAAGAAAAAGAAAAGTGTAACGAGCGTGAGGCTGAGGGTGAGCCGAGGGAGATGAGAGAGAGGGAGAGAGAGGGAGAGAGTGAGAGCACACACACACACTCACTCACACTCACTCACTCGACACGACGGACTCGGACTGAGGGCTGTCTCTTATACACATCTAGATGTGTATACATGAGAGGGGGGTGAGTTCTATTCATCTCGAA